AGCTAACTCCCCTCCCTCATGAATTCTGGACAAAGCATCGGCTCCCTTGTTCAATTTACCCTGCTTGTACACAATCTCAAAATCATAACCCAATAATTTAGCAGTCCAGTTCTGCTGCTCTGCAGTTACAATTCTCTGTTGCAGTAGTTGTTTGAGGCTTTTTTGATCAGTTGATACTACAAATTTTCTCCCCAGCAAGTATGGTCTCCAATGCTGGATTGCTAAAACTACTGCCATCAATTCTTTTTCATAGGCCGATTTTGCTAAATTCTTCACCCCAAGGGCCTTGCTGTAGTATGCTACTGGTTTCTTATCTTGCATCAATATCGCCCCTATTCCTCCTCCTGAAGCATCACACTCAATCATAAAACTCTTTGAAAAATCTGGTAAAGCTAGCACAGGTGCTGATGTAAGCCTCCACTTCAACTCATCAAAGGCTTGCTGAGCTTCCACTCCCCATTTGAAACTGTCCTTCTTGGTCAGCTCAGTTAATGGTCTAGCAATTTTCCCATAATCCTTTATAAACTTCCTGTAATAACCTGTAAGTCCTAAGAATCCTCTCACCCCTTTTACATTCTTAGGTTGTGGCCATTGAGTCACACTTGCCACTTTTCCAGGATCTACGGCTACACCGTGCTCAGTAATCATGTGCCCCAAATACTCCACACTTTGTTGGGCAAAAAAACACTTTTTCTTGTTAGCCACTAGGCTGTGATTAGCTAACAAACTCAACACTTCTTCTAAATGTTTCAAATGAGTCTCCCAGCTCTTGCTATAGATAAGTATGTCATCAAAGAAGACCAACACATGCTTCCTTAACAGAGGGCGAAACACATCATTCATTAGGCTTTGGAACGTTGACGGCGCATTCATGAGTCCGAACGGCATCACAAGGAACTCATAATGCCCTTCATGTGTTCTGAAAGCTGTTTTGTACACATCAGATTCCTTCACCCTCACTTGGTGGTACCCCGATTTCAAATCTAACTTCGAAAAGAACGTAGCTCCATGCAACTCATCCAATAACTCTTCGATCACCGGTATAGGAAATTTGTCAGGTACCGTGATCTTATTTAGAGCGCGATAATCAATGCACATTCGCCATGTGCAGTCCTTCTTCTTCACCAAAATCACCGGACTTGAGAACGAACTCGTACTGTGGCGAATGATCCCCGTGTCCAACATCTCCTTCACCTGCTTCTCAATTTCATTCTTGTGATGGTGGGGATAACGATACGGCCTCACGTTTACGGCTCCTTGTCCTTCCACAAGGTTGATCGCATGCTCCTTGTTCCTTGTCGGCGGAAGGCCTAGCACGGTTTGGAACACTTGATCATATTTGTGTAATAATGCTTCTAACTCCCTTTGTTGTTGGACAGGCAACGGACCTTTTTCAGCCTCTTTGGGTTTTGTTTTCTCTACTATCCACAATAAATCTTGCATATTGGGCCTGGGCTTGCTGAGAACAGTTTGCAAAGCTACTGTAGGCTTCCTGCACCCCTCCTGTCCTTTAAGAGTCACCCATTTCTTCTCACTCCAAAAACTCATAGTTTGTTTATTCCAATTAATAATAGTATCCCCCAATGTTTTAAGCCACTCAATGCCTAAAACCACATCAATTCCTCCTAATTCAAATAAATGCATTTCTGGGTCTAATTTGAATTCATCAATACACACTTCCATTCCCTTACACACCCCCTGTGTTGCTATTTGTAACCCATTCCCCAATTTGACCGTCATTTGAGGGGTAGTGTCAATTGGCCAGTCCATTTGATGCACTAATTTTTGAGAAATGAAATTATGTGTTGCCCCACTATCCACCAAAATCAATACCTCTACTCCTTGTATTGTTCCTTGGAATTTCATAGTATGATGAGTCTTATGTGCAATGTGATGCAAGTTAAGTACACTCATCTCCCCCTTCTCCTCTTCATCACTTTCATCCACCTCTATAGCCAAGAATTTGGTCTCATCCACATCATCTCCACCCTCTTCCACAACCAAAACTCTTAGTTGTTTTTCTGGGCACTGGTGCATAGGATGGAATGGGCCTCCACACTTAAAACATAAGCCCTTTTGCTTCCTTTCCATCAATTCATTGTAAGACAAATGTTTGAAACCCCTATCACGAGGCCCAGTGTGTTTCTTTTCATTTTGGGCCTGTTTGTCTCCTTTGAGCCCACTTACTCCACTCTTGACACCCCCATGTGGCCCAACATCTCTCCCCCTTATCATGACCCAATCAGATGCAGCTTTCCTTCCTGATGACCCATTATGAGATGGGTTATAACCAGCTCTAGACCCACGATGAAAGCCTGACCCGTTTCCCCCTTTCACCTCTCTCTCCACAGCTCTTGTGACTTGGAGCAATTTTGTTCTGCTCATTTCCCCCATTGCCACCAAGCTACGTACCTTTCCCCTAATCTCTGCCTTCAACCCATGTAAGAAATACCCACGAAATTGTTTCTCCGGTAGCTTCGGTATCTGTGCCGTTAGGTATTCAAACTCTGTGATATATTCCTCAACCGTTCCCTCTTGCTTCAATTCCGTCAACTGTTCATAAACATCACCCTCCCCGTGTCCTCCATACCTCTCCAACAAAGCCTCCTTCAACGATTCCCAGGTCAACCCTTCTTCCTCTCCGAGCAAAGAGTTAAAAAAATGAATCGTTGCTCCCTCCATACACAGTTGAGCTAAACTCACTTTCATCTCTGGTATCGTGTCCTGGACGCGGAAATACACTTCTGCCCGTGAGATCCATCCCGCCGGATCTTCTCCGGTAAACGACGGCAGTTCTACCTTCTTCACGGATTGGCGATACTCTGTCAACGCCTCTCCATGACGGTTGTTGACAACCGTACTCTTTGGACCTTTGCCGGACACGCTCGCATCTCCTTCGTCTACGGTCAACGACTTACCCAAGCATTTCTCTAACATTGCTATCAGATTAGCATGGTTTGTCGTTACTGAGTTCTGCATCTCGACGAGAGTTGAACGCACCTCTGTGATCTCACTCTCTAACGCTTCGACCCTGGCTTCCATCTTTGCGAACACCGTTAACGTCACCTTTTTTGGTGGCATTCACTGGCTCCTTCGTCGGAATCCGGCAGGTCGGACCACTTGATACGAACTAAAACACAGAATTGTAGTAATATAACAGTACAAGCAGAAAACAGAGGAAAAGAGAGCTTTATTTTAGTGAATATGAATGGGAAACAGTTACAGAAAAGGGAATGTAACCCTAGATCTGACAAGAGCTAGGCTCCTAATAGGAAGCTATAGCTCCCTATTCATGCTAGTAAATCACTATAATCCAAGGTAAGATCTACATTCTCCCTCTGATCCCTTATATCGTGGAAATGGATTGCAAAGTGCTCTCCTCACTCAAGCCACGTCACAATATTATAACTAACTAGCCACCAATTCCCTTCTTACCCTTCCTTCTAGAATACACTTTCCACTCTTGGGGTCCACTTGATTCCTTGTAAATCAGCCGCTCACGTGGCAATTCTTTCTCAACTAACTGAGTCCTATCATTCTTCTTGTTGAAGGTTGAATGTGTGAGGCAGCGACGATTCTATTTCCAATTCAAGTTCTTCTTCATCATCACATATAAGTAGAAGGTCTCTATACTCTAGCTTTAAATACCAAAGTAGTCGACATGAAACGTTCGCCAACTTGCTTGTAGATGGCGTTGACTCCACCACTGCCAACATACGAGGGCACGGTTTCTTAAGGCTTTCATCGTCTCTAGCAACTTCTCACTCTCTAGTGTTCCCACAACATCAAAATGCTTCTCAATACAATTCAGCCACCGATAGGCACCACCACTATTGTCAAATTGCGACGCAACATGTCCGTTTTCCCCTACTGTGAATTTCTTGCCCCGGATCAGAACTGCTCTGCTCTGATATCAATTGATAGAAACTGATACCAAATAGAGAAATATAATAGAAATAATTAACTGTTATTAATGATAAAATACGTAGTTCAATAGAAAGGCACACAACACTCACAATCTTGACATAAATAGAATAAAAGATAAAGTATTCCTATCAAAGAATTTCGAGAGTCTTCCTCTCCTCCCTCCAAGAATTTGAGATAACATCTTCTAATTTCCGGATAATCTATTTGGCATGCCATATTTTAAGTTTATGGCTTATAAGTTTATAGGATAATAAAAGACTTGTTTGATAACTATCTTAGATTAACTCTTGTTAGATGGATGGTATTTCAAATTAACTCTTGTTAGACGGATGGTATTTCAAATTCCTAATATTAGTAAAGAAAAATTACTTTATAAAAACTACTTCACAAAATTCCTGGAATTTTAAAAACTCTAGACTTAATATGTAATTTAACCCAAATCATTTTAATTACCTTTTAAGATTACATTGTTCTCTAAAGTTACTCTGTCTTAACAGACACTTAGAGGTACTATATATATACCCATCCTGCATTTTTTGCACCCTTCTTAACATTACATGCTTATGCCTTTTGTAATGCATATTGGTCAAACAGTTGACAAGATAGGAGATTTACCTATGATTCTTGCATTTTCCTTGGCCCAAACATTATATACTAATGCTCTGAGAAACAATTCCTGGTAGCTCGTCCTAGCACTGAGATTGAATCTCGCAGCTTGACTCTAACTGCAGCTAAATCAATTTGGTGTGTAAGTTCTCCTTCATGAACTCCATGTTTTCGGCTCCATAGAACCAAATGTATGAAATTGGATCTCTTCTTTGTTAGGAAAAATGGTTCACTCTATCTGCGCAAGATCAAGAAGCTGGTGTTCTAATCAAAGTTTCACCTCCTACGGCATTTACTAAGCTCGTAGACTATCAAATTAATCTATCATCCTTAGGTACTACAGATTGTTTAAACGAAATGTGTAAGTATCCAAGTCTATAAAAAGACTTCACCTGTTGTAATTTGTGCACTCTTGTTTCAGAAAAACACATTCAGCTTTCTCTAAACTCTTTCTCCAATGATAAATACTACCAATAATCACCACAAGAACATAGCCCATCTGAGAACTGGTGAAATCGCTTAGCATCTCGGACAATGATAGTCCGCTTCTCTACCATCGACACAAATTTTGCAGTGTTGTGGCAATCACGGCATATTCTTAGATTTTTCATTATAACTAGCGGCATATCTGCACTACATACCAAAAGTCCATATGCAAGAGCAATCTTCTCACTATGTTTGGAGACCATATCTATTTTCACATCCTCATCAACATCATGGAGAATCGATTCTGTTTCAGGCACAAAGCCAACCTCTTGAATTTTTCTCATAACCTCTTCCAACTTTTTGTGTATTCTATGTGAATCAGGGTGAGTGTAATCGTCGACAACAAAACGGTGGATTTTATTCCCATGTTCAATAAAACTACATCCAGGATTTCTAGTAATAACATTACTCTTCATTAAAGTCCTCACTTTTGATGCATCACTCCACAAACCTGCAGCAGAATACATATTCGACAACATAATATAGTTTCTAGGGTCTGAAGGATCTAATGCAATCAAATTTTCCGCAGATTCCTTCCCTAGAGCAATGTTACGATGAACCCTACAAGCACCAAGAAGGGCACCCCAAACTCCAGAATTTGGCTCGAACGGCATGTTCTTAATTAACTCATGAGCATCATTGAGTAAACCACAACGACCGAGAAGATCAACCATACACGAATAATGATCCATTCCTGGTTGAACTTTGTACGCATCATACATAACTTGGAAGTAGTATTTTCCTTCTTTGACAAGCCCTGAATGGCTACAAGCACTTAACAAATGAGTAAAAGTTACATGATCAGGCTCCATGCCTTCTTCCCTTACAATTCTTTCGAAGAACTCAGTCGCTTCTTTCCCACGCCCGTGCATCGCGTAGCCAGCAAGCATTGCAGTCCATGTCACTTTATCAGGCTTTTGTATCTCTGCAAATACCTCAAGAGAATCACTCAATCTTCCTAACTTTGAATACAAGTTCAAAAGAGTAGTCATAATTGTTATATTTTCATCAAGACCACAGGTAAAGATTACACCATGTAAAGCTTCCACCAGTCTTCCCAAAGGCAAATTTTCACATGCTTGAAGCAAACTCACCATTGTGGCTTCATCAAGAAAAAATCCATTAACCCTCATCATATCAAAACAACGAAAAGCCTCATTATGCATTCCATTTTGGGCACAAACAGCAACAATTGAGTTCCAAGACACCATACTCTTTTCACTCTCCGGCATTTCCCAAAACAAATCGAAAGAAGATTCAACAAAGCCAAACTTGCCATACATATTAATAAGAGCATTAACAACCTTCACCTCAAACACCATACCCAACTTCACTGCACAACAATGAACATAGTACCCTTCGCATCGCGCTTTCTCATATACACAAGCCGAGATAACAGATATAAAAGTAAGATCATTCAATTTCAATTCTGAATCAGATTTCATCTCACAAAACACACTCAAACAGTAACCAAGCTGTCCACTTTTCGAAAACCAAGAAACCAAAGAATTCCACGAGACAACATCCTTGTCAGGCATTTCATCAAACAGAAAATATGCATCTTGGGTGGCACCCGTTTTGAGGTATCGGGTTACCAATTGATCACCTATGAATCCATCACGGTAATCAAGAGACTTGATGACGTGGGCATGAATGATTCTGCAGAAGGAGACAGAGGATGAAGATTTCAAAGCAAGAAGTAAAGTAGATAGAAAAGGGTGATAAGGGTGTGTGGAAAAGGGATGGAATTGAAGAGAGGGTTGGGAGAGAAGTGAAGAATAAGTAGGAGTTGGAGGAGAATAATGTGAAAAGAGAGGGAATAACAACGCTAGAGGCTTTGGTGGATGTCGTAGGAGCATGCATGTTTTCAATGTCGCTTGGAACAACCTAAACATATCTAGTGTGACAAATCCATGAAACTATTGAAATAGAACATAGTTACTTGATAATCCCTCACATTGAATTTACATAAGACTGCATTTGATTTAAATGATTGTTATCTCTTTCTCTCACTCTCATATAAGATATCATTTTTTAGTACATATATCTTTTATATAATATATTTTGAGACCAAGTCTCAACTGTTAAAAGAATTGATCAAACGATATATTTCATCATGTGATTTTTTTTTTCAATTGAAAACAGTTGAATAAAAAAGATCATGTAATGAGATATTAAATCTCAACCTTTAATTTTAAATTAAACGGTTGATATCTCTTCTTCTCATCTCATATAAGATAATTTTTTCTTACTAGATACATCTTTTATATATATGCGACAATTGAGTGAACATATTAATAAAAGGATAAAACTTAAAGTACAATTCTTTAGATGTGATTATTACCATTTTTCAATAAAAATATGACAATACTTAAATATCATTTAAAGATTGAAAATAGAAACAATTTATATATTTGTAAGAAGAAATTATACACTTATCATATTGTTATGAAAAATAGTAAGAACCACATCTAAAAAATTATACTTAAATTTCGTCTTTAATAAAAATATTAGAGTTGCCGTTTAAATTTGGAGAAATTCTAATAAGAGAACAAATTTATTAAAAACAATTAAAGATTTTAATAAAAAAAAGTAAGAGTAATTTTGTCAATATAACCAAAATAAATTTTATCATAACTTTTCTCTCTCCCCTCTCTTCTAAATTCTTCTTATTTAAAAAGGAATCTTATTACCTCCAATCCCGTCTCTCTCATAAAAAATTAAATCAAACATACTCAATTTAAAATATTTCCTACACTCTAAAATTCCCCAACCAAACGGACCCATGCTACATTAATTTTAAAATATGGCTTATTTTCTTCTAAATTTAGATATATCAACAAAATATCTTAGGACCAAATATACAATATCCTGACTTTTTAAATTTTTCATTTAATGTTTTAAATTTGTTTTTTTAACTAAAGTTATATTTTTTTTATAAAAGCTTTTTATTTTTATTTTATTTTATATAGATATATTTTATTAGAATCATTAAATTATAATGATAGATATAACTCAAAATATGTTGTGAAAGGACGATCCCCTCTTAATTGATGCAAAGTTTCTCTACCAACTAAGCTGTGTTCTCTATTTGCTCTTCTTTACCATCATGCGTACAATTTTGATTTGATTATTTCCGCTAAGCTCTTCCTTGCAGGTTATTTCTGTTTACATTGCTTTTGTTTTTTATATTTTACATCAAAAATCAATTTCATGTGGAATTAGTTAGCAATAAGATCTATGATCTATTTGATACTATACATATAATTGAAGCCCAATATCAATATTTAATTGCATGATGTGTTTATGCTTCATCCATTCAAGAAGCCCAATATCTAGGCTAAGGTTGAACAATGCTTTATGATATATTGTTCTCACTTAATGATGCACTCGTATGGTATGGGAAATTTATCATAATATAATGATTTTGAGTGCTTTATGTAAGCTTGCATGCAACTATTGCTACACCACTTCAAAAATAATGCATTAATGTAATGAATATATATATGGGTAGGAATATATGTCATTTTGTGAAAATCGTACTGCTTGGATCAGATTTTGAATTGATTTTTCAAAACCGATTCAAATTAAATCGAACCATATTTATACGTTTTTATATTTATTTATTTTTTATTAATATGATATATTACATGAATTTATTATTAGATAATAATAATTTTTTAATACTATTTATTAATTTGGTTTAATCTATTTATTTTTATTATTTTATATATTTCAACTATAATCGATGATTCTCATTTTGTAATATTAACTATATGTTATATATTATATCAAATTTATGATTTATTAATATTTTTATAATATTAATAAAAATATAATTTGTAATTTAGATATCTAAAAACCGATTCAAATTAAACCGCATTAAATTAGATCGGATCAAATCAGACTTTTTTTAACATGTCATTCAAAATCGAACCGAACTGCGAGTAAATTTATCTTTGAATGGGATAAGTTTTTGTCTTACAACTGTTTCAAACCGAACATGAACACCCCTAACATATCCAGCTAGAGAAATTCCTCTAATATTACAGAGAGTGTTATATATTTAACCTAATGTGTTAAAGCTTTAATTGAATGGTATGGGAAGATAGGATTTTAAAAAAAAATTAATATAAATTTTTTAGATATTTAGAAAATTTTTTTTTAGAGTGATAAAGTAATATTTATCAATAATATATTTTTAATTTTTGAAATATTATAATAATAAAAATTAGATTTGAACATAATTTTAAGAACACTATTTCTTTTAAATATTTGGGTGTCCCATTGATAAGATTATGACTAGAGATACTTATTGGAGTGCTTGATTACTTAGGGTCTGTTTATTTTGGCTTTTTTTTAAAAAATGATTTTTATAGTGTGATATAATTTTTTGTAAAAAAAATTTATAAAGAATTTTTTTTATAAAAGTTTCAAATAAAAATTTGATTTGAATAATTATTTTTAAAATAGTATTTTAGATATTTTATCATCTTATTGAATTTTTTTTTATATTAAAATTTCAAAAAAATCACTTAATTTTGAAGTTATTTTAAATTGTTTTTCTTAAAAATCATTTTTAAATATAATTTTTTGAAAAAATTGCGATTTCGACTGTGTTTTGATATTCAATAATGTATGCTTATATTATAGAATGTCAAAAATTGTCTTTTAATTTAGGAAAAACAAATATTAAAATTTTTGTAATATTTTAAACAATGGTTTGATAAAATCCATTTTTGAAAATATAAAGAAAAAATATATATTTTTAAAAATTAAAACTAACCGGATCTTAATCATGCTGGAAGAGTCCAGCTGATTAATAGTGTGATGATTGACATAATCACATATTGAATGAAGTGTTTCCCTCTATCCAAAAAGATAATTCACATGATTAATTTCATGTGCAGATCATCCTTTACGTGGACAAATGAAAATGTAAATAATAGAAAGTCTCATATTGCGTGGAAGAATGTGTGCACTCCAAAAAGTAAAAGGGGGGTATGAACGCCATTTCTCTTGAGGAGTGGAATAGTGCTAACATGATAATTAAAGTTACTTTATGGATGACATGTCACGAAATGTGGCATGTCATGAAAGGTTAGCCACGAAAATTAGATTATTTAAGTTTGGCATGGTGAACAATATTAATTGATGTTTCTGTTCATTACCGAGAGATTATTCAACATTTTTTGTGGGGAGTTAAAGGGTATTTGTTAAAGTATGCTTGATTGGTTGAAGTTTAATTATACTCCTCTTGAGTGGAAAGAGAAGCTCATATGGATTACTAAGTATAACAATGGAAAATAATAGAAAAATAAGTTGTTAAAAGATGCTGTTGTAGAGAGTGTTTATAAGATTTGGAGACACTTAAATGAAAAAAAAAATTGGAATCAAAGTAAATAATACAAACATAGGGAGAAAGTGATAGATGTTATAGTGCATATGGGTTAGAATTATCCTAAGTTTAGAGAACATCTTACTAGGTTAATGATGTTCTAACTTAGATTTACTTGTGTGGGTGGTTTTTTTTTTGTTGCCTTTGGGCTGGATCTTTGTATGATCGCCTTGTATATTCTTTGACTTTTAGATTTAATGAAATTTCTTTATTTTTCAAAAAATAATAATTTGAATAATTTGAGAAGAATGTAAAGTTGGAGCTGGAGTTAAATCCAATTAAATTCAAACATTCAATAACACGACTGTGAAGGCCTTGGATTTTTGTGGAACAGATTGCCCTACCTATCTCAAGAGAAACTGTATGGGTTTTCTATATCTGGTTTGACTGGAAGATGGACTTCTAATGAAGATTTCTGGTTTGAAGATTTAGTTCATGATGCTCTGGATGTTTTATTCAAAGATCTATGTATCTAAGAATAAAAAGGTGTTATCAACTGCGGAAAAATATGAGGTGTTTTAATTATGATCTTATGTCTTAAGAGAATGAAGGAATATCTACCATCTATAACTTGCAAGGTGAAGTGACTCTACGAATCCTAAAGAACTTTATGTCATAGATCAAGTCTGAAAGGATAATTCAGTTTTATCGAAGAAAGTTCCTCAAGTGGAGAGATTATTGGAAGGATTTGGGTTTTCAAGCTACGTTTGGCAGAAGGAAAACTCAAAGTGGCAAAGGCTATTTTTATCCAAAGGCAAGCTGAGTCAAGTATGTCTTAGCATTATGCAAGATATCAACTTACTCATGCTACAAGCATCTACTTGCACTAAAGATATCTCTTATGTGATTAGTTGACCTTAACAGTTTTGGTTATGTTCTCAAGGTCAAGTTCAGTTTTGTTTAACTAGACATTGGCTAATACTCAGGGAAGGTTTTTATTGATTTATCTCTCGTACTTCTCTTAGGTTCTCAACTAAGATGATTTGTTTTTTGACACTAACTGTTCTAGACCCTTATGTGCTTCTGGTGGTTTGTTTAAGTCTCATTCTAATCAAATGTTACTTTGTTGATGGTGCTAAAAAGGAAGGTTAAGGACACTGGGTACCTAAATAGTTCTAGATGGATTCTCTATGTTTTGGTAATTGGTTTTCTTCTTACTTAAGGGCCGATGACTATGTGATCAAATGTCTAAAGGTACATGTCATCAAGAAAGAATGTTATGTCACTACTGGGGTGTATGAAGTCCTATGAGGATTTAAGAATAACTTCTATTTGTGAATTCACGAGTATTTATTTGTTTATCTTTTTACTTTATGGTTAAGAAAGAAGAAGTCAGATGTCACACCTAAAGGTGCAACATCAGACAGTTGCTAAAGCTCTTGTTCTTCTATTTGTGAATTCACAAGTATTTATCTGTTTATCTTTTTACTTGGTGGTTAAGAAAGAAGAAGTCAGATGTCACACCTAAAGGTGCAACATCAGACAGTTGCAAAAGCT